CCCCCACCTTGCACCACACTTGCATCTCTCTGCTCAAATAAGGTTTTAAAAATCTAGTCTTCACCTACTACGCTTATCACAGGAATGTCAACAAACCATACTGCTGGCCCTCTTTATGATATGTTAAGCCCGGTTGTTGTCATCGTTATGGGACCTGTGTTTCCTCTTTGATTGATCATTAGCTGTGAGAGGTGCTCCTTTTTCTGCGTCTAATCTAGGACACACTACTATATATTTTATCCACAAACATTTGGTTGCAAGCTAGATAACCCAGCAAGCTCATGACATGAACTCTTATTAGAAATAATAATAATGCTGGTATTTTAGGAGAGAGTAGCAGTGAAATTGTACAAACTGTCAGTTTATAGAAAAATAAATCCAAGATCTCTTTAAACTATTATAGGTAGTAGCATTATATACATTAATGACATGTTATTTAGAGGGCAGTGAATACTGCTTCCCATTTCATATACATGGTATGATTTTCATACTGCATAACCTCTTGGTCTCAGGCATTAGTCACATCCCACATTTTTTTATTGTAATGACAATATTTTATTAATTATTCTAACCCTAGTTAGATATAGGGATCTTAATTATATAGCTCCCCCATTTTAATACTTCTGTGAGTAGTAATGTATAGTTGAAGTACGAAACGTCCCTTACAAAACCTGCAAACTTTTCTGTTTCTCTGTCCAGAACTTTCATCATCACACTTAGTAGCTACTAAACGTTCGCTATTGCCCTGAGTGCTTTGTTTCGTAGATTTTTACAGGCTTTAAGCACAGAAACCTCACTCAGTAAATCTTCTGATCTTCAATCAGAAGAAAGCTTAAAGGGAGGTGGAAATGAGGTTAAATAGATTATTTCTCACATTGGCTGAACCTCAAGTGCACCAAGGCCTAGTAAAATAGCATTATTTAGAACTGTGAATCATGCAAAGCTGTTCTAATAGAGTCCAAGAATAAGATTGTGGAGCTGCAAATGAGCATAGCAATCCACTTTAAACAACAACGTGTAATAACGCTCAACAAGGGGCTGGTGTTAGACATTTCCACTGGCATATACACACATGTAGCATACTGGATACTACCCAGTCCTTATAAATACACTATTAAACTGAAGCTTATAGTAGCAGGCTTCACAAACCCATTTATTTTAAACTTTCACGACAAGTCAGTCAGTGATTAGCCAAAATGTGGTCTGCCTACATCACAAATGAGTCACTATAGGTTAATAAATGAGAGAACAGCTTCAATGAACAGCGCTAAAAGTTAAATTAACACAGAAAGTGTCAAAGCAGGATCTAACTGTTATTTATGAGATATTTAACATTGAGAAAGAGGAAACTCATTACTTAATATTACTGGTTCTGAAGCACTGAGATAGCAGCCCTGCAAATGAACACAGAAATATAGAGGAGCTAGCATGTGCCATTTCTCAAAATATCAAGCATGTGTCAAACGTTCACACCAGCAGAAGGAAAGCATTTAGACAAAAACAAATTGCCAGTTGGCACCGCAGCCGCACCTATGCCCATCCCCTCACAATCTAGAAATACATGTTTCTTTTTCTGTTTGCAATTACATCACTTTCACTTTGTGTGACATTACTGTCTTTGAATCTTTGTGGTATTTTAAATAAAGATGATCTACATTCATTGTTTGGAATGATGATCAACATGGACTTCCCCATCACTGAACAGCTGTGTCCTCCCCACAGGTTTGGAAGACTACATGAGCCGATATAGTGAAAATATAACAAGGATTCTGTCTTCCTTTGGGCCTGTGCCGGACTTCTGTGGTGAAGCAGCCAAGAGCGTCATTAATGTAAGTGTGATGGTTACAGAGTTGTGTTTACAGTGAAACTTTCTCTCAATAAATACACTCACTTATGTTGTGGTGTGTATATATATATATATATATATATGCAAATATAGGAGAAATAAGCAAAGCAAGACATTTGATGCAAACGACATGTGAATGGCAGGAAATGTTTCTCCATTATCTGTATGTATCATTAAGCATTAATGGTGCCTTCACAGATGTTATGCACACCAACAGGTTTTGATTATGTGTGTGTTCTTAAATTGTTGTTTTTCTCTTTAGCGACACAGAATTTAGTGTCTGTGATTTCCAAAAAGTATTTCAGTTTTTGGTTCAAGGAGCACTTTTCTGCCTTGGACCAGAGAAGCTGTCTAAATTTCTGGATTTTGCGTGCTGCAGCATCAGAATTTGGTTTTCCAGCATGTCACAAAGCTCAGATCATCTCAAGCTGGTTTCTTGAACATGACATTGAGTTCACTGTGCTTAAATGACCTCCACAGTCACCAGATCTCAATCCAAGAGAAGACCTGTGGGATGTGGTAAAAGGGGACATAGATAGATGTGCTGCTGACAATCTGCAGTAATTGTGTGATGCTGTCATGTCAGTATGGACCATAATATCTGGTTAGTGTTTCGATACAGTGAAAAAGAGGGTCCTTGTTTTTCAGGGGTGTTCTTGAGACCTTGCAGTGTTTTAATAAAGTGCCACCTGAGCCCCCAAAGAGTAATTCAGTATTCAATAGGCTCCCAAGATTTTTTTAAATAAATAAAAAAATGTGTGTTAATTCAGATCAAAGACACGGAATGTCTATATTAATATACATATCTTAATTTATTATTTTCTTCATTATTTATTGTGTGTTTAGTTCTGGATGACTGAAATTCAGCAGTTTCTACTCACCTCTGAGCCATAAAGCTTTCTCCTAAGTAGAAATTAATTGGTCACATGCTGTCACAGGCGGTTAATATGTTAGCCACAGAAGGTCATCTTGTAAGGACACCCTGAGCTGGAGCATTAAATAGTTTAAGGTGGACTCGTTTGCCTTCTGTGATCACGAGAACAAGGGCAGCACTGCATGCACATTGATCTGTGCAAGTGTCGGCCCTGGATGTCACTGTTTCAAAGCTAAGACGTTATTAAAAGATTATGATAAATGACCTGTATTTGTATAGCGCTTTACTTAGTCCCTAAGGACCCCAAAGCACTTTACACATTCAGTCATCCACACATTCACACACAGGTGATGGCAGCTACATTGTAGCCACAGCCACCCTGGGGCGCACTGACAGAGGCGAGGCTGCCAGATACTAGCGCCACTGGGCCCTCTGACCACCACCAGTAGGCAACGGGTGAAGTGTCTTGCCCAAGGACACAACGACCGAGACTGTCGGAGCCGGGGCTCGAACCGGCAACCTTCCGATTACAAGACAAACTGCCAACTATTGAGCCACGATCGCCCCAAAAGGATATTTAGTTTAGCTTTACGGCTGAGAAGCTTTATTTTAAAATGAACCTACTGTTAAAAATTAGAGACTGTTCATTTTTTCTCAGTGAGCAAACGTACAAATTCAGCAATTGAGCAAATAGTTATTTCCCCCACTAGACATGTCCGAAGTCCTAGATGGCAACCATTCCACTTTGCTCACCTAGCTTTTCCTTCTGTGCCGTCCACAGGAGATGTACGAGCTCATTCCCTGTGACCAGCAGCATCTGGCAGCCAGGCAGGAGAGGAGGGACCAGTTCCTCATGCGTCTGGCCAAGCTGAAGAAGGACTAATAAGCTCAGGGTCCAAACTCAAGAAAAACAACTTAATTAGGTAGAAATATGATTGTTGAGTTCAACATGTAATGAAGACCTTTTTTTCTTTAAACAGGCATACCTTGACTGAAAAGCAGCACTTTTTTAAAATGAGTAATGATCAATCTTCCTTATATGATGAGTACTAGCAGTATTAGAACATAACTCTGGATTGCTACTCCTTATGAATACAATTTTAACCGGTCTTTTGTTTTTTCTAAATCTACAGCACGTTTTAACTTTTACTCTACATCTTGGTTACAAAACCGACTGTGGTAAAAAGTGAAAAACAATGATCTCATTCAGCCACATTAATGGTCTCTTGTGTAAACAAATTTCTTGAAAATGTGAATCAGTGTTTTGATTAATAAAAAAGAACACAATAACGCATTTATGTAATTGTTTTGATAGCCACACAACAGAAAGAGATGAGTGTTTTTGTGATCCTGATAATGAGGAGAAATTAAATAATGACATTTCACTACATATTTCTGGGCTGAGTGCTCTCTGCTGACTGCCACCATGTGCTCGCATAATTGTGACGGGTAAGTTCCCAAATCATAAGGAAACACATCAGGAGGGCTGTGAAAGATTTAAATTTCACACTGATATAGGTCCAATAGTGACAACCATACATCACACTCTGGGTGTTCTAGTGCAGGTTTGTGGCTCTATAAACTGAAATATTGTATTTATATTGTAAATATTTTATATGTATGTGTGTGTGGGCGGGGGAGGGCTACCTTTTGTTATTATTAGGTGAAGTCACATTAACATTAAATGCCTGCGTAAAATTTAATTAGAGACTAATAACCCTGCTGGTTGGCCCCACCTCGAGCTTGGCCCCTCCCTCCCAGTTTGCAGGAGGGATGATGGATAATCGGTGTGCGCCTCACTCACTACTTATAGACAAGACAAGTCGAGTCTGTCCCAAACCAGCCAAACCGATTCTACTGAGACGCACAGAAGAGAACAGGACTGATTGTTTCCCCAGCTTGGTGGAAGCTTAAAAAAATCTGTTTAGGATAAACTCCACAAAAACAGGTGAGTTTAATTTCAATTCCATCTGCTAATGCCACCACAATATTCTGCACAAAAAAGTGAAAATATATTTTAGAAATAATGTGTCGAATTTAGATATTTTAAAGTGTTAGCTCCTCGAATGCAGCTGCTTATTTAACCTGTGGGCCCCTTCAGTCTGAGTGCAGTTGGTTTAAGCTGGCAGACGTTAGTCTGAGGTAGACGCTGGTCTTCCCAATACTTTTCTGTATACTGTCAGAATGAGTTTGAGGCTCTTCTTTTCAGGGAAACGAGTGGTTGTGTATTTTTAGATTTTTGTGGAAAAAATATTATTTTTTAAAACTGCAAATATATATTTTTCATTTTGCTTGCAACATTATTTGGCTGCTAAAATGCCCTTTAATTGCATTAAAACCATAGATCCATACAGTTTGCTTTCCCGTCCGCTTTTTGACTCTGTAATGCCAACTCTATTATACACCTTGTCATGTGTAGCCAGAAATGTAACCTTTCAGCCCTTTAAAAATTATTTAAAATCCCACAAGTCATCCACAATATATGCATCTGAAAAATAATGATAATTTTCTAATTACACACACACTCGCACCTTTTTAACAACATAAATATGCCATAAAACAAGGCCTCCAGCAGGTGTATTTCTCCAGCACTCTGGATTTTTCTAGCCTTTTAACTTTCTGCTGAATTCCACAGGTTGTCTCAGCTTCCGGACTCCTTTTGGCCGCAATGAGTTGGGGGGCTCTCTACGCCCAGCTAGGTGGCGTCAACAAGCACTCCACCAGCCTGGGGAAGATCTGGCTTTCTGTCCTTTTCATCTTCCGCATCACGATTCTGGTCCTGGCTGCGGAGAGCGTCTGGGGGGACGAGCAGTCAGACTTTACATGCAACACGCAGCAGCCCGGCTGCAAAAACGTCTGCTACGACCACTTCTTCCCCGTGTCGCACATCCGCCTGTGGTGCCTGCAGCTGATCTTTGTATCCACGCCGGCCCTGCTGGTGGCCATGCACGTCGCCTACAGAAAACGGGGTGATAAGAGGAACATGCTGGCCTCCAATGGCACTGAAAAGATGACAGATACTGAGCTGCAGACGCTAAAGAGGAGGCGTCTGCCCATTACAGGCACTCTGTGGTGGACCTACACCTGCAGCTTGTTTTTCCGGCTCATCTTTGAGGGGGGGTTTATGTATGCGCTCTACTTTGTCTACGACGGCTTCCAGATGCCCCGGCTGGTGAAGTGCGAGCAGTGGCCTTGCCCCAACAAGGTGGACTGTTTCATCTCCAGGCCAACTGAAAAGACCGTCTTCACCATCTTCATGGTGGCTTCATCTGCCATCTGCATGGTGCTGAATGTGGCCGAGCTCTTCTACCTCATTGTAAAGGCGGTCATGAGATGCATGACAAGGTCCAGCAGGAGGAAACACACTTACCCAGACAGCGTGACACGGGATAACAAGAAGAATGAAATGCTGCTGTCTTCTTCCACAGATTCATCCAGCAACAAGACCATGTGTTAGAGACAAGAGAAAGGTGTATACTGTAAATCCAACCTCACGAGTTGTGTCTACGTCTTGGTTACTGGGATTTGTCTCACGAGATAGTGAAACAGCTTTGGAGTCTGTATAGTTGGGATTGACTGTAAAGACCTGACTGAGTTCTCCGAACAAACACATTGCCAGATAGTAACGTAAAGAGTAAAACAAGTGTCAAACACTGAGTAGTTGCAACCATTTTACTGTCCACAGTTGAATTTGCTTGAACGTGGCGAAATCTGCCTGAAAAATGAGCCTACACTGACATCTAGTGGTGACAGTGGACCCTTAACGAGCACAAACGCCTTCACAACAGCCTGAGTGATCGATTTATCCGAGGAGAACAAATGAAGTTTTGAGAAGAGAAGCAGAGTATGTTTAACTTTTAGCTGATGTTTGATTTCAAATGAGATTGATTTTAAGTTCACAGTACCTGATGTGATTACGCTTAATGAACAAGTCTGATTTTTCTGTTTTAGAATGAAATCTCTGATCTTCGCTGTTTGATCAACTTCATAGGTTCTTTTTTGGGGGGGTTGTAAATGTTTCTTTACATGTGTTAGACGACAAAAAATTTCACACGTGCATACCATTTCATTCAAAAATATGAAGAACGTATATGTTTGTACTGTATCAGATGGTTTTTCATCTACTGCCAGCAAGTTCAAGAATCCCCCTGAACAGATCGTGCTGCACACATGTGAATTATTTTCTGTGAAACTGAATTCCAGACTGGATCTAATGTAAAAGAAGGCTGAAACCAGTGACGTGACACAGGAGTTATGATACTGTGTACTCTTTTAGGTGTTAGGATTTCATGTTTTTCAAGTTTATAGGGTGTAGGTTTAATTTACTTTGACCATTTCACATTCAGATAGGGTTCCTCCTCATTCACCTTGTGACTTCCAATCCTGCTTTTTTGGAAACACCAGAAGTCGCTCAGCCCCAGATCTGCTCCTGTGTTATTTGAACTTGCATTGTTTTTCTTGCAGTGTGCACTGACCCCAGCTGGCTGTATCAGCTTTCAGCATGTGCCTTATTTTAGCCACCAGACTAATCACTGCTAGGCACCGTGGCCGTGAAAATGTCTTTGTCCTTCTTCCATCCAGGAATAGCTGAGCGGGATCAGTCAGACTGTTCCAAAGTGTTGGTTAGACGTGTCGATTCCACCATAATTAAAAAGAAACCACAGTGAGCTGTATACTGATGTTACATAAGTGATGCAGCTGGGACCAAAACTAGTCTGTGTGCCTGCTCTGCACTGACCTTTGACTTCTAGCTTTCTGTAACAAGCCTAATGACATTTTCTGATGCTACATATTTTTTTTATAACAGCGATGTACTTCCTCTTGTTTTTATGGGATAATCCTGATTATTCCTATTTCAACATGTTGTTATTGTTATTATTATTATTATTATTATTAATACAGTTTCTATTAGTCTGCCTTTAAAAGCAAACTGCACACTAATGAGCAAACAGCTTTCTAAGAAGAAATGATTAAATCTGACATTTTTTTATTATTATTATTTCACTTGCACTTTGATCCTTCAACTTGTTTTGCTCTATGAGACTTTTTTTTTTTTTACATTTTTAAATAAATCGGTAAAAACAGACCTGTGTGCATTATCATTTATGTGCAGTTTTATTTACTTTACTGAAATTTGGGATAAGTGGGGAATTTTTTTCCCACACTGGGAGAGAATCGTCTTGCCTTACACTCTCTGTCTTCTCCTCTACATTTTGCTCTTTATAACCACATATCAGGTTTTTATTAAGTAACGTTTGACTTGGACAGATTGTAGTGTGTCCACAGGATCGGCCTTTTAAAGACCTCGCGGCTATTTAATGTTGCCTGCCTCCTAAAATGAGTAACTATTACTATTTTTAGCACCCGGGGGGTCATAATTTGGGAATGTTTCTAAACTTTTGGCAACTTTTTGCGCACGGTTTTGGGGAGGTTGGCAGGGGCGTGGTGTGGCCGGAGAGGCTGATGACTCTGTGGATTCACTCATGGATGGTCACGCAATGTGACAGCCCAGTCATGGCTGGAAATGAGCGGTAGCTCCGTTTAACCGAGCCTCATCTCTCCGACTCCGAGCCTCCTCCAGAAACTAACAACAAGAAAGAAAAAAGTTTCCCTTGCGCAAAGTAACAGAAGTTTGTGCATGAACGAGGTTGCGAGGCCCGCATTAAAAAAAACCTGAGGAAAAAAAAAGTTTGTCGAGCTGTCAGAGAAGTGACAAGTTGAGTGTGGGTGGGGGGTGGATCAGGGACACAGAGGGAGGGTCGCTTCAGCCGCGGGAGGTCCACACCGCTTTTCAACGCACTCCAGTGATGGCACCGATGATGGCAGATGGATTTGCGTTTCGTGTTTAAGTATGACATCTCCGCTTTAAAGGTATGACGGATAAACACCACCGTGGCTATTTTCTTGCACTAAAAAGGGAGTACAGTAAATGAAGAACGGCATGTTATCAGGTAATTAAGAGTTGCTTCAGTTTTACCGAACAAGGGGGGAACAAAAAGGCTGTCAAAGCTTAAAAGGAGTCTGGGGACTCTGGCAAACTCTGCATTGTCACTCTGGCAGGTAGGGCTTTGTATTTGAACCCGTCTGTTACATTCTTCACCATCTGACACAAATGCCACAAGTAGCTGTGGAGCTGAGGGGAGTGAGGTTTTATTATTCTTTTAAGTTTGTGCGGGTTTGTCACTAATAAGTCATCACAAGGTCACAAATGGAAAGCACGACTTTCTGATTCTCTGGGTGTAACTGCTGCAGTTTCCCCCAATAAGTTTATATTGATGCCAGATAAATGGAAACAGTGTTTAAAGAGCCTGACCGTTTTCTGAAACAGCCAGCAGTGTTTTAATTTTCCACCAGAAGATTTATTTTAATGTATCTCTTACAAAGTCTTGTGAAAGTTAACATGTTGTTTTTTCCTCTCTTCTAGGTGTCATACATATTGTGAACCCTAGTCGATGGATTTATTACCTTTTAATACAAGAATATTTTAGTAAGTTTGCCCTCAAATGAGTGTGTGTGTGTGTGTGTGTGTGTGTGTGTGTGTGTGTGTGTGTGTGTGTGTGTGTGTGTGTGTGTGTGTGTGTGTGTGCGTTTGTGCTGAATATGTTGCATGATTAGGGTTCAGTGTACACAACACTGTCTAAAAGGCCACGTGTTTGTCTTTAATAAGCTAGTCTCTGCATCTGAATTCGCTATACTTCAATATTAAAATGTAGTTTGAAACTTAAGCAGCTTAACTCTTTATCAAGCAAAAGAGCCAAACCCAAAATCTTTAACGATGTGAGGATGTGGTGCTGCTTGGTAAAGGTGTCGGGTTAGGACTGGGGAAATATACCAGCTATTTTCTAATACATAAGCAAATAATTGTGATTAACCAGAGAATAAATAATATAAATCACTGCTCTCTTCACTTTTTAAAGTTTTTGAGTTAAAAATAATCTGTAATTTACCATAATATATCACACAGATATTATACTAGACTTAATAATTTTATTTTTTTAAATCTCTTTTCATTCTGGTGGTTTTATTATTACAGTTGCATTAGAGAGAGTGAGGGACGATGGTGTGTAGGATGTGTGTAGACGATGTCAGTTTTTGAGTGTGTGTGTGTGCGCACCCTACTAGACCCCATCTCTGTTTTCGAACATCATAATGTTGATCTCAGCACATGCCTGCTGTGCAGTGGAGCGAGCAGGTGAGAGAGAAAGAGAGAGAGAAAGGGAGTGAACCAGGGTTCAGTGACAGAGGTGGCCTATATGGTATATGAGCTGCTAAGAAGCAGCTGCTATTGATCTGTTATCTATTTGTGATGTCTGAACTGGCAGATTTCTTTAAGGACCACTTTCTGCTAAGTGCTTACAAAACAAAATGTCAAGCTTTGCTCCACGTCCTTGCATCCTCTTCTCTGATTGCATGTGCAGTGTTTTAAATGTGAGGGTAAGCCCTTGACACCTGTTGCACTGACAAATGTTAAGCTGTTCTAAAAATCCTAAGCACCTCTTTAACTTCCACTCTCTCTGCTTATTTCTCCTCTTTTTGTTATTTGGCGCCCCTTTCCTTTTCCCCCACTCCAGCCTGTACTTTCTCCATAGGCTAATTCTTGAAGCATGGGCGACTGGAGCTTTCTGGGGCGGCTGTTGGAGAATGCTCAGGAGCACTCAACGGTCATCGGCAAAGTCTGGCTGACTGTCCTCTTCATCTTCAGGATCCTGGTGCTGGGGGCTGCGGCCGAAGAGGTCTGGGGTGACGAGCAGTCCGACTTCACGTGTAACACCCAGCAGCCCGGATGTGAGAACGTCTGCTATGACGAGGCCTTCCCCATCTCGCACATCCGCTTCTGGGTGCTGCAGATCATCTTCGTGTCCACGCCAACCCTCATATACCTGGGCCACGTGCTGCACATCGTCCGCATGGAGGAAAAGCGGAAAGAAAAGGAGGAGGAGATGCGCAAGGCAAACAGGCTCCAAGAGGAGAAAGAACTCCTGTATAGAAATGGTGGCGATGTTGGAGGAGGAGGAGGAGGAGGAGGCGGCAAAAAGGAGAAGCCGCCAATCAGGGACGAACATGGCAAAATCCGTATCAGAGGCGCGTTGCTGCGTACCTATGTGTTCAACATTATTTTCAAGACCCTGTTTGAAGTGGGATTCATTTTGGGCCAGTATTTTCTCTATGGCTTCCAGCTGAGGCCCCTGTACAAGTGTGCACGTTGGCCCTGCCCCAACACCGTTGACTGCTTCATATCGAGGCCCACTGAAAAGACTATTTTTATTATATTTATGCTTGTGGTGGCTTGCGTGTCTCTTTTGCTGAATTTGTTAGAGATCTATCACCTTGGATGGAAGAAAGTTAAACAGGGCATGACCAATGAGTATGCCCCTGAACGTGAGTCGCTGCGCCGCGTCGACATTGCAGAGCCTGAGTGTTTGGCCTCGGCCTCCAGAACTGCCCCATCCAGCCCCAGCTACCCTCCCAACTACACAGATGTGACGGCGGGCAGCGGGGCGTTCCTGCCGCCCATGGGTCCAGCCGCCGTGCCCTCGGCCGCAGAGTTCAAGATGGACGACCTTCAGCAGGAGGAGTCCCTCCAATCCTCCCCCTCTTCCCACTACTATATCAGCAACAACAACAACCACAGGCTGGCCACACAGCAGAACTGGGCCAACCTGGCAACCGAGCAGCAGACTCGGGAGATGAAGGCCACCTCCCCTCCACCTTCCTCTTCTTGTTCTGCCACCAGCAGCGACAATGAGCAGCACCAAAGCGTCAATGGTGCTCTGCTCCTACCCACCAGCAACACCACCAGTAACACCAACATCACCAACGCGACTGCCAACGCTGCCTCCAGCGGCAGCAGCCCTGGCGACGCCTCCAACGCAGGCAGCTGGGATGGAGGAAAGAGCGAGCACGACGAAGGCCACGTCACCACCACAGTGGAGATGCACGAGCCTCCGGTAATGGTCAGCACAGACCCTCGGCGGCTCAGTCGGGCCAGCAAGAGCAGCAGCATCAGGGCCAGGCCGAGTGATCTGGCTGTCTAAATGCATTCAGCCCTTTCATGTCCCTTAAAGCCCTCTTGAATAACATGCCACTATCCTCACCCCAAACCCAGACACAATCATGAACATGTAATAAGCAACAAAACAAACAAACAAACAAAACAAACCATGAGACAGGAAAGCAAGAAAGTCAAGAGAATGTTTAGGGCAAATGTGAAATGACTGAACCACTAGCTGTCGTTGATTTAGTGCAATCGGTGAGTTGCAGAGTAGTTGAGGCAAGGTTTGGTTTTTCTTGATTAATAGTCTATATTTATGCACACAATATGTGACCATGCACTTCTACAAAGTCAGGAGCCTCCAGTAACAGCAATGGATGGAGTGAAAGACATTGTGATCTATTAATTTTACATGAAAATGGACACATCTCACCAACATTTTTGATTTGGGGAAAGGGGATCTTCTGGTGTTTCTCTATTTTTTTCCTTTTTGTTGAGCCGCGGGGACTAATTATTCCAAATGGAAATGGTCATTGAAGACTGGTGACTGGAAATTTTGAATATTTTTATTTGGAGGAAACAGAGATAGCTGATGTTAATGCACAGGGCACCGAATGTGGGCAACTTGATCATAAATCTCAGTCCACATGTTTATCTGTTTTCATTGTCAAACTTGCAGCACAAACGTGCACGGTGTGCTGCACGGCATGTCGGGAGACCCGGAAGCCATTCTGCGCTTCCTGAATTTTACTGACTTCACTTATTTGTCGTGTTGAGAGTAATTCATCCTCAATGCATTTGTACATGACGTTACATGTATTGTGTTCTGTGTAGTTGTGCATGCCAGCATGTGTACTACAACTACAACTCACCGATTCACTGACATATTTGCGTGGCAAAGTAGGCTAGCTAGGTTCTACCCATGATCCTTTTAAAAAAGAAAAACAAAAGTTATAATGACATGGAACAGATAGGACGTTACTTTGGAAACTTTCAAAGGGTCCTGGGATTAAAGAAAAATAAGTGAAGCGTGGACAGGATATGGGTTAAAAATGCTGGTAAGTCTTTCTTGCTATGTCCAGAGTACATCTGGGTCTCTCTGAACACCGCATTGCCAGTAAACCGGGCACAAAAACAAGGAAAGTAGGAGTCCCTTACGCCTCCCTCTGTCAGTGTTACCTTTAGTCAACATATCTGAAAAGAAAAATGCTCTCAGCGAACTGCACAAATATAAGATAATGCCTTCAAAGTCTATAAAAAATGCATGCATGCCACTAAGTGGTACAAAAAAAACTTTATTAAGATTTACCTTGTAAATTCAAATGCTCAGCCTCCCAGAGCTCCAGAGTTACGTTTGTAACCATTTTTGTAAGATTGTCGGCAAACATTTCGGCCCTCAAACCCACTCCCACCTTTTTAAAAAACAGAAATCCCCCACACCTAAAGATTGAGAGCAACTTTGGTCATTTTCTTTTACACTGAATTGAATTTTACTCATAAATTGCATACTTGTAGTAGTCAGTTTGTGATTGCAAAACAGCTATGACTTTAAAAAAAAAGAAAAAAGAAAAAAAGACAAGGTGACTGGCGTTGGGCGTCTCAGAACGCCGCAGGGTGCAGTCAGCCTCGACTGCTTCTATTTTGTTGTGTTCATCTTGATTCTTAGAGACCTTTAGAAACCCAAACTTTTAAACTGAACTCATCATTAGCCGCAGTCCTCTGTTCCTGTTATGTCTTTGTGCTGTTTGGTTTTGTCCACAACCCAGGCACTCACTTTCAAAAAGCTTTTTTAACTTTACATCAACAATAATCTGCTGTATTTCCTGTGAGTCCAACACCGGGGCAGAGTTCACACAGCAGCACTGTGTGAAAAGTTAACCATCTGCATTGGAGATATTGCACTGGTAGAGCATAACATCATAGCTGATTACTAATATGTCTGTAGGAACAGTACTTTTCAATGAGTTATTGTGTATTGGTTAATACACTGGAGTAGGAGCAGTGCAAAAAATGTTGTCTTTCCATTTGTCAGGGTGGTGGTGGTGGTGGGGTTACAGAATGATGGCACAGTATGGTTTGAGATTCTCAGCGCCCACAGGAGTATCATGTGTGATACTGTATCTTACTTATTTAGCTTCTTTCAGCGCAAATAGAGACTCGAAGAAGAGAATATATAAAATGCGTAGATTAAAGCTGCCCTTCCAAATCCATGGTTCCCATTCAAATGACAAAGACTTCTTTGATATCTGCATTTACAACTTGGTAGTTGGTAAAGATTTGCACATTTAGAAAACAAAACTACTTTTCTGCAGGGCTCATGTTGGTAGCAGTCGAGTGACAGGGAGAGAGCAAGACGCCAATCTTTATGATCCTCAAAGGGAAAAACATGTCTTAAACCAAAGCGCAGTCACTCTTCACAGAAAATGTATTATTAAAGATTTTATCTCAAGCTCAGATGATGATGAGAAAAAACAATACAGTGGCGGGAGAGAGAATAACAGCTGGGGTAATTTTCTGTTTGTTTACTCAGTATGTTCTCACAGAACTGTCGGGACTCTGGTTAGACGTCACATCAGATGGCTCCAATGTTGAGAGAATGTTAGCTGGGTAGCTGGCCCTTCCCTAACCCTGCATACAAAGCCCTGACAGGATGTTTTGTTCAAAGCCTGTGATCCCTGTGACTCCTCCAAACTCTCTCCTCTTATGTTTCATGCAGAGCATGATTTCTCTGGCTCGTCAGGGAGTCGGAACCATCTCACAATGCTCACAACAGCAACCTGTTTTCAGTGCTGTCTTAAATAAGAGAAGTGCCTTGTGTATGAATTATTTGTTTGTAAGAACAAGATGATGTAAATGTTCATTTACCTCAAATGTTTACAAAACTGTTACTAAATAAATTTTTTGTACCATATTTATTGCTCTTGTTTGCTTTACATGATGAATGAAATCAGAGCTGCAGGCTTCAGTCTTGGACTGGGGTCATGGAGTGACAGAGGCCGTGATTTGTCCTATTTTTAAGATGATAAAATACAAATAATTAATAAAATACTTCATAGAGTCGCTTTGTGCTTTTTAGGTTTCAATTTAAACACATTTATTCCAGTCTGTCAGAACAAATGAATCTGAAGATCACAATCAGAGAGCTAATTATTAACTTTTTGTCCAAATGTAAAATCACTTCCAGAGGCCCATTTCCAAATTACCTTATGTAACATGAGGTTTTGATAATTCTTGGTTAACTTAGAGAAACTTGGAGAAACACTTTTTTCCAAACTTGGACAGAAATGTCTTGTCATAATGGGACAGACAGCAAAACTGGAACCCAATGTTAGACTTCGAGGTTTGAATTTTGGGGGAAAGATTTCACGAGATGTTTACTTGCTAGGTAAACTTCCAGGATTTTTGCCCTTCCATCCACCCCCTTTTTTAAATTTAAACCTGAACAACACAAAAGTCATAAGATGACAAAAAGTAGGATAAATACACCCCCTCCCCCCAGCCCTCCCTTAATTGAACTGGTTTTATGGTGTAAACACAATAAAAAGTAAGACACTTTGTTTTTTTAACAAATGCAAATTCTACAAACTTTAAACTCAGTTTAATCAGAATTTTATCAGAAGCACAGTCTGGGTTTGATCTGCCACTTAACCTCAACAGCACTACATTCAGTTGTCACACATTACTCATCAAATAGACTCATTAGGCTGACATTTTTAAAAGTCATGGTCAGATGGAATTCATATATCTTCTAATAAAAGTAGAATGACAAAACAAAATACGCATGAAGTCCAGAACTTGCTTTTTTTCAGATATTTTAATCCGCCGTCATGAGTGCTTGCAGTTGCCTCATTTATAAAGATCATAAGGATCATTCTCAAGTGTTTTCCTTTTTAGGCTATCCTCAGTTTTATGTATGTATGTTTTTTTTCCTCCTCCTTTGTCATTTCCCATACTGCCGGCTTCCTGTTTGTTGCTCTTTGACATTCAACCCTCCGCAGTTCACTCCCTCACGCTGCCTTCCGACAGCAAATATTAAAAAGTGGCGCTGACTCAGAGTTACTTCATAACCACATCAAGAAATAATTAAAATGACACGGCTGTGTTAGTCTTGCACCTGGGAGTCAAACATCTACCGCAAACACTTTCTGCACAATTACAAGAACTGAGGATTTACAACACTGTGCGATGCATGATATTGATGGGTGGAATTTACAGCTCAGTGTGAACTTCCTTTGAGCACAGTGAGCAAACACACAAAGAGAAAATTGCGGACTTAACGAAACGTGTACTTCAAATACTTTTAAGTAAATTGAAGGGATGCACATTTGGGTAAATGGAGGCTGTAATTAATGGCCTTATATAGACCTTTTTACATAATATTACTCAAATGATAATTATTTTACAAAGAAACTCCTTTAATCTCAGTGCTAAATTTTATTGGTCCTGAATAATTTCTGAAGGATTAATAGTGATGTCTAGTACCCAATGAGAGCCATAGTACACACAGTGTTGGGGAGTAACGGAATACATGTACCGCCAATGTATTTAAAATACAAAATATGAGTAACTGTATTCCGTTACAGTTACCGTTTAAAAAGGTGGTATTTAGAATACAGTTACTTTGTTGAAGTAAATTGATTACAGGGCGGTACTTCCCTGTTTCATTTTGTCGCGGGTCAGGACTGTTTGGGTTTTGTTTGACAGCTACGTTCTGTTGGTCCAGGCGGCACGGTTACGGTTGCCATGGTTACAGAGTGACGCTCTCTCTCTGCGTGTTTCCTGGGTGAGAGAGCGCCTTTTTGTTGTTGTTGTTGTGCTAAGCTGAATGCAGAATGTAGCATCATGGGCAGTGTAGTCCGTGCTGCAGGGAGAATGGACTGCCATACCCGTTATGTGTCTGTGAGCGCGAGGAGGGAGAAAAAGGAGAGTGGAAAGGTACGAGCTGTCATTGAGCAGAAACGGGAGCTGGAAGCATGTAAATATAATAATAACCACTGCAGCCAAGAAGAGTGCCTGACGAGCCCAGTTGTAAGTAAGCTATTAAGACTCGACTGTACACCGTGTTCGTGTTTTCCTCCGAAACAATAAGTTCCGTTGGAGCAGCCTTTCAACGCCTCTCTCTGTCTCTCGCAAGCAAAGTTGACCCAGACAACAAAGTAAAGCTAGTTTTGCTACGAGCCCGACACGGAACCCGACGTATTAGCCAGAGGTCCCTTTACTACGGTTCGGAGCCGCGGACCTTCAGTAATAGTAATAAATCACATTCACGTAGTTGTAAAATGCATGATAATATGTTAATCCAAAGTATTCAGAATACGTTACTCTCATTCAGTAACATAACGGAATACATTACAAAATACATTTTGGGGCATGTAATCTGTAATCTGTAGTGGAATACATTTTAAAAGTAACCTTCCCAACACTGAGTACACATGTCAGTTTCTAAAAGCTTAGCCTAAGGCATAATTATATTAAATAATGATATATTGATGATATTTAAAAGCTTTAGTCATAGAATAAAAGCTGAATTGTTTATTTGGGACTCGTGTCAACTAAAAAAACAACAAGAGACATCCTCAAATCTGCCTGTGACATTAGCGAAAATCTGCCTAATGGGGTGGTTTTGCCACACAGCAGTTGTCCAGTGAGAATTTTGGATAAAAATCTTTATATTTGATCAATCTATTGTAATAAAATAAGCAAATTCACATGTCTTTTAAAATTTTTAAAAACATTTGAACCTTTAAGGTTATAAAAAAGTCTGACACCCACACAAATTTCTTTAACGTACAGCTTTACCTACATATAAACATGTCATTTAATATTAATATGAATCTATCTACATTATATGGAAATGTAAATGATATTCCTGTTTCATTGTGTGTACTTATCTGTAAACCATGTAATCAGTAAAATCCTTTGGTGGAGACCGTATTAGATTGTTGGATGGTGCTTTGTGTGTCTCTTACGCTTAACCTTTTTCTTATTGTCTTCTAACTGGCAAACAGAGGATGCAGTCTAGTAGAGTTGTTGTAATAAAACTTCCTTGACGTTAAAGGTCTGTTTGTTCAGTGTCAACATCTTTGATCAGGTCTGTGAAACTCAAAACCATAAACCAAACTAAAACTGTGACAATGGTGAAAAGTTTTCTCCTATAGGAGGTCATTCTGATTGCAACCACCCCACCTTAAACAGCTGATGGATAATTTGCAGTGACTGCTGAGTAAGAAACCTTTCTAAAGGGGCCCCACTCCAGCTTTGTGCAGCAGCTCATTGTCTTACTCAGGTTCACTATGAATTCAAACTGTAAATGTAAAGTTTTACAGCTCGATTTGAAGTTATTTTCGATACTGATGTTAGTATTTTCAGCTATTTCGCTATTTCATCACCGTGGCTGGCTCAGTTAGCATTACCTCTGCTCGCTGGGCTCAGACTGGACCTTTGGTAGTTATTATATACACACATGATTCATATTCTTAATGCTACAGTGTTTTATGTATTTATTTAATAAATATTAGTCAATGTCTGTTTAATATCAAACTGGATTGAAACTAGTGTCGCTGAAGCATTGCAGCTAAATGTTGCCAAATCAGCTGTATATTTTGCTTACATGTCCTCTTCCTCCTTCCACAAGTGCTGCAGGCTACAATCAGTCTGTTCTGATGCCAACCCAAGCAGCAACCTCAGGCTGACAAATTAAAGTGCCAAAGTGCTTTATAGTTCATGTTTCCTTTTGCATAACAACTCTGCGGGGGGTGAAGTTTGCTACCTGAACGCTCGAGTTAACTGACAGGTGTCCAGATGTAGGCATCTATAGACTGAACTGGATCTCTCCATCATGTTTGTGCCTTTTGAAGCATTTTATTGATACAGCCTGCTGGGAGCAGGAGTGCCCCCAGAATCTTTTCACGGGGGTGGAACACCAAAAACAGAATTGCTGTTTTCAAATGTAGGTTACTTGAAAAATATGACAAAAAAGACAGAAAGAGAATAATGATATAAATAGTTTATTTCCTGCTATTAACGTTGATATCACTGAAAATAGGTACATATAAAAACCAAATAAGATTTGGAAATCTAGAATAATCTGCTTTAATTGGCTGAATGATTGATTGACTGGAGGTCCCAACCACTGCTTTAATGATTCTCAGCAGAGGTGAGCAGAAGCATCTTGAGAGTCACTCTCCCAGAATGGAGTCAACTTTAAGAGCAAAACTTGGCCAGGAAAGACAAATAAATATTAGAACATGCAAGAGTGTGAGTCTTGGACAGGTCAGGGATTTGAACCAGGTTTTCTGCAATTTTATTAAATTACTACCAACATGGGACTGTCTTGCCGGTGGGTGGCCAGGAAATTTTGAATGGTGGCCAGTGCCCCACCTGACTGTGAGAGACAAACCATCTAGGTGTGGTGTGTACTTCAGTTTGGGTGAGTGAAATTGTAGTAATTCCTTAGACTTTCACTTAAGCATTCATCTTAATAACATTAATAATTAGGATTAATCAGCAGATATGTAAGAGTGCAATGCACACCTACAGTTCAGTGATGCAGCTTTCTAACAAATCTTGCTAGTGTTAGCTGATAACATTCTTTCTAATCTGTTGTCTAAATATGGTCACTTCTAGCTCCACAAACACAGAAGCCAAAAAAGCTACGTTTCATCATGATGGAGAGGCCAAAACCAACAGGTGATATCACCTTGGTAACAATCTCCTAGGTGGTTGCATGTCAAACAAGCGTTTTGCCCACAGACTGCTGTAACAGAGATGTCTGTAAAGTAGTTGATGCGACACTTCTATCTGCAATCAAAACAGTGCTTTTTATTTTGTTATGAACTTTTAAGTAATGGAGGTTTCAAATATGCAAAAGCACACTAGCATAGAGAAAAGTTAGTTTTTTCATGATGAGCGAGGTCAACACTAATGAGACTATAAGAGATTAGACTATATTTTCTAAGCCCCAATGTTTTCTTGGCGCAGCATATTTCTTTATATGCATATCTGTAAGATGCAAATCCAAAGCATCTTTTTTTTTCATTGTAAACACAAGCTCTGTAAGGTCAGTTATGTTGCAGACATAGTTTACTAGTCTCTTTTCTTTAGCTGTGAAAGGACTCCAAAAACCTCAATAAGTAAGAAAATGAGCACTGGGTTACTTAGTGCAGAAATCTGGCAGTGTGTCTAACAGGGGAGTGCAGTACATGAGTGCTGCGCTCTTGGGTCCAGTGGCTGAAGAGTGATGGGAGATAGATGATCTTTTGGCACGACTAACAGGAGGCCTCAACCCGTCACTCACCAGTGGCTTTGTTTCCACTTCAGGGCCAAACATTCGTAGCAGGATTCATTTGATTCACGTTGTTCCTGTTTTTGTGTCTGTTCTTCTGTAGATCAAGTTAATAATGCACAAATGGAAGGAAGATA